CGGCCTACATAGAAACCTAACCCCCCCCCCCCATGGCAGAATTGGAAAGGTGGGCAGCAGTAATGGGGAGTAGATGGGGATGGGCCCAAAGAGCAAGTTGGCTTGCTCGCCTACCTTCCACACTGCCTTCCTGTGGCCACCTTGCGAAGGCAGGGAAGTGTCGGGCGGACGGGGGCAGGGCCAACCAGGGGCAATTTTTACCAGCTTGGTGAACCAATCCAAATCGTCACTACCGCCTCGCTCGAGCCAGGCCAAGGTGGTGGAATTTCACCCCTGCTTTAGATGTGCCCCTTATTTTTCTAAACTGCTTTCATCCAGACGATAATTAGTACCACTCACTCAATCATCTTCTAGGTCAGGAGTGTCCAAGCTTGGGAACTTTAAGACTTGTGGACTTCAACTCTCAGAATTCCCCAGCCAGCCATGTGGCTTGTGGTTGAAGTCCACAAGTCTTAAAGTTCCCAAGTTTGGACACCCCCGTTCTAGGTATTTTCTTAAACGAAAAGGAGATTGAGCTTTCCTTGTGTTGTGTTTCCTTGTGTTGTGCTGCCTAGGCAACTGGATATCACATTAACTTGGCAGTCAAGCTCTTGGAAGCAGGAGGGAAGAGAATCAATCTGAACACCTTTTACAAAATAAATATGGATGAGACAAACTCTCTGAAATGATTCACTTTGAAGCAGAGACTCAATTATGAGAGTCATTTTACAATAACTCTCATAATTGGAACTTAGTTTATGAGAGCACTTGACTTCACAGAGATGGTTGCCTTCTACAATCGAAAGATAGTTATTGGTTCTGCTCCACAATCCTCTCTTCACCTTCTCAGCCTGGTGCTTTTGGCTTCAAGTTCCATAATTGCAAAGAGACATAACGTTTTTAGAAGCAGGAGGGACAATTCCTAGGCTGGTGGAAATATAAGCCGGGGTAGATATCTGAAGTGTTTAGCAGGTAGAATGAGGTTGTTAAGGCAAACACCATTCAATGTAGAATCATATCAGCTTGATTTTCTCTCCCCCCTCAGTTACTTTTCCTTCATAAAGCAATTGGCAACTGAAGTTTGTTAGCCTAAACATTCTAGAATAGAATAGAATAGAATTAACAATATCTAAATCAGTGGTGTCCACACTTGGGAACTTTAAGACTTGTGGACTTCAACTCCCAGAATTCCCCAGGCAGCATGGGGAATTCTGGCTGGCTGGGGAATTCTGGGAGTTGAAGTCCACAAGTCTTAAAGTTCCCAAATTTGGACACTCCTAATCTAGAGTCTGAGAGGAGGTGTTATTTTCCCAAAATGTTTTTTCCCCCTATATTGTTGCAAAGAGTCAGTCTGGTGTAGTGGTTAAGGCATGGGGCTAAAAACCAGGTGACTCTGAATTCTAGTTCTTCAGGCACAAAACCAGCTGGGTGATCTTGGAGCTAATCTCTTTCACTCAGCCCTTGGAATGAGAAAAGGGCAAACCCCTTCCCAAAATCTTGCCATTAAATTTTGTATTTATTATGGACGGAGGTGTCAACAATAACCTGAAGACCCCTCTCTCTCACACACACATGCACACATGTTGCTACTCCTGGCTTTCCAAAATTAAAGGACTTGGTCCTTATTAAAGGGCTTGCAAGAACCTCTTATTATTTTCGTGGATGACCAGAATCTCTAATTTCAAAAAGCTGAATAATAAATGTAACGTTGGATTTGTGCAAGTTTTCAGTGTAAGAAAGACACAAAAACAAAATCCATTTGTTTCAGTTGAATGACTGAAGAAATACTCTAGGCTTACAAATCAATCAATTAATCATTCTGTTTTTTTAATCTATCAGACTATTGCCGGTTTGTATTCTAATGCATCGTTAAAGAAAAGTGATATCCCAATTAATTTCACAGAATCAGATAGTCACGTAACAATAATAATAACTTCACTTGACAATGAATTTCTATTATTTTTCATTTGCAGGTGTGCCTGCCAGCAAGGATCCTAAGCTACAAAACGACATCAAAGAACTTCAACACAGAATTGCCAGAATGGAAAGAGGTATTTTTTTTAATGGCTTCCCTTTCTCTTTTTCAGATTAAAAGTGGGTGAGTAGTTTTTCATTCTTATTCCATTTGTGTCACCAAGAAACCTGAACGAGAACAAGCTATTCAGAAAACTGTGCAATATTAGGACTGTGAATAGTTACGCCTATTTGGGTATTATTGATAGTGATGATCCAAGGAAATCCCATTTCTAGAATAGGGATTCTTTGAATTTTACCAACTGATAAAGAATAGGATATCCTAGCCCTCTATTTTTAATACTGTGTGCTATCTACCTTGTCTGTCAGAGGTCAAGAGACTTTCTTCTTCTCAATTACCAAGCTGTTGTTTTTACATTGAATACATGGCAAGGTGCTAATGCTCAGGAGAGATTCTGGAAGAGACCTTAATAGATTAACAGAGTTGGAAGGGACGTTGTAGTCCAACCCCCACCCCAACAGGAGATTCTACATCATTTCTGACAAATGACAGTCCAATCTCTTCTTGAAAGTCTCCAGGGATGAAGCTCCCACAACTTCCAAAAGCAAGCTGTTCCACTGGTTGATTGTTCCCATTGTCAGAAAATTCCTCCTTATTTCCAGATTGAATCTCTCCTTGATCAGTTTCCATCCATTATTCCTTGTCTGGCCTTCAGGTGCCTTGGAAAATAGCTTGACCTCTGTGTGGCAGCCCCTCAAATACTGGAACACTGCTATCATGTCTGCCCTGGTCCTTCTCTTCCCCAGACTAGCCAGGTCCAGTTCCTGTAACTTTTCTTCATATGTTTTAGTCCCCTAATCACCTTGGTTGCTCTTTGCATTTTTTCTAGAGTCTCAACATCTTTTTTATAGTGTGCTGACCAAAACTGGATGCAGTACTCTAGATGTGGTCTTACTAAGGCTTGGAGGTCTTCTAATCCAAACATCCCATCTCTTCCTTGAAGCAATAGATACCATTTTTAATAGATAGGATAGTAGCTTTCATCAGCATATTGCCATGGTGCAGTCCAGATCCTGCTTTGTTTTTTGTTTTTTTACCTTAATGGGATCATAAAAAAAGCAGTTTAGGAAATTTATTGCCACTTTCGAACAAAAAGAGAAAATACATGGGAAGCCTCTTAGTTCCACTCAGGTACAACCAGATTGCCACTTAACAATCAAACTATATAAAGTCAATTCTGTAAACCTATTTATCTTTGAACTGATGTTCTCGATGGATCAGGGTTTACCCAGAACTAAAGTACAGGTAGGTCTCATTTGCTGACTGTTTACCATTACATCAGTGATGAAAAAGTAATTTCGCAACCAATCTTCACATTTATGACCTTTGTAAGTCCATAAAGTAAAGCTGAAGTCAAATCATGAGCATAACTGTGTTCCACTTAGCAACCACCATGCTTAACAACCAAATTGCCAGTCCAAACTGTGGTTGCTAAAGTAGGCTTATCAGCAGTGAGAGCTCATAAACAATTCAGTTCAATGAGACTTGTGATTCTCTATCATTCAGAAAAGTGAATATGAACTCTACAAGCTCTGTGATAGAAAAAAGAGAAACAAGGAAATTATTTTACTTAACATTTATTCAATCATTCATTCACTCATTCGTTCATTCCATTTGTGTAGTCAACCACTTGCCATCCATTTATTCTACTACAAAGCAGGAGACGGTGAGTTCTAGTCCCCCCCTTAGGAATGAAAGCCAGCTGGGTGATTTCGGGCCAGTCCCTCACTTTCAGCCCAACTCATTTCTCAGGGCTGTTGTTGCTGTAGGGAAACTAGGAGGAAGAAGGTGTGTTGGATATATTCACCACCTTGAGTTATTTGTAAAAATAATAAAGGGAGGCTATACATAAGTTTAAAAAATGCTTGTTGACCAGCTTAACTGAAAAACAACAAAATAGTCAGAAATAAAAAACACATTGTTGCATGGAGGAAAAAAATGGGTCGATAGAAGAGAATTCAGGTGGTTCCCAAGATATGACCATAATGGAGCCTGCTCATTATAGTCGCAAGTCGAATTAGTTGTTAGGTGAAATGTAACACTAATAACCCCCTCACACACACCATGCTTGCTCTCCCCAATTAAATGAAAATGGGGAGGGGAGAGCAGGAGGACTTTGCAGCAACCATAAGATGTTTGTTATGTGTCTTTTTTTTTTTTTTGTAAGCCGCCCGGAGTCCTTCGGGATTGGGCGGCATATAAATTTTATAAATAAAATAAATAAATAAAATAATAAATAAGGGGGAACGACAGCAGGTCTGCTGCAGCCATCACAATTTTGAAATGGGGTCATAAGTAGCTTTTTGAGAGTCGATCATAATTCCGAATGTTCAATAGTCTGTTGAACTTTAGAATTACTGTGTATGGAATTGGTGTCTATGCCGTTCCAGGTGAAACTGTGGGGTCCTTTTTTGTGCATCTATAAAATTCTTAACTAAGATCTTTGTCTTATCCCTGTTTATTTTCAATCCTGCTACTTCCCCATATTCTTCTATTTTTCTAATTAGCTTCAGTCAGGTTTCCAGGGGGTTTTCTAGTATGAAGATCAAATCATCATGCCTGTAATTTATATTTCTCTTTTTTATTTCCATCCCTTTTATTTCTTCATCTTGTCGAATGTTCCTCGATAACCTTTCCAAAGTCAATATGAATAGCAATGGAGACAGTGAACATCCCTGTCTGGTACCTTTTTTGATATAAAAATGTTCTGTCATATCTTCTATTCTAGATGGGCCGGTAGCCCATCTGGCCCTGGTGTTTTGTTATTTTTTTTGCCTCTCGATCACCTCTGTGACTTCCATTATAGTTATCCATTCATTCAACATGTCCTTAACAGTATCTGGTATCTTAGGAAGTTCAGATTGTTCCAAGTATTGTTGTATTTTGTTTTCCAAGATTTCCTCCTTGTCATATAGTTTCTCATAGTACTCTTTTATAATAGCCTTTTTCTTCTCATTCTGATAATGAAGAGTCCCTTTCTTATCAATTAGACAATGTATCAGATTTTTTCCCCTTTTCTTTTTTCAACTTGTATGCCAAGCATCTTCCAGGCTTGTTAGCATTTTCAAAAATGTTTTGTTTTGCACTTTTAATTTTATGTGTCAATACATTCATTTTATGTTTTATTATATCTATTTGATTTTTCAGCTCCTTTTTTTGTAGTTCTCACTGTTGGTCTAATTCCAATCTTTTGCATTCTTCTTCTAACAAAGTCTTGTTTTGTTTCTTTTTCTTCTTTTTCCCCCCATATATGTTATAGCTAGGCCGCATGTGTATGCTTTAACAGTGTCCCATACAATTTGTAAGGAAATCTCTTTCTTTCTATTTTCTTTGAAGAAAAAGACCATTTTTCCATCTTTTGTATAAATTCTTTTTCTTGCAGTATTGCTTGATTCAACGTCCATCTACATTTTCTTTTTTGCCCTTTCCATACAACTTTCATAGGATTGTGATCTGCCGAAACATTAGATTCTATTTCTATCTCTTGTATACATGCTTTCAATTTTGTTGTCATCCATACCATATCAATTCTAGACCAAGATTTGTGCCTATTTGAATAGAACAAATATTGATTTTTCTCAGGGTGAATTTCTCTCCATACATCTTGCATTCCTATTTCTTCCATCATTAAAAAAAAAAAACTTTTGGAGTGTTTTCCTGGCTTTTTTACCTATTTTACTGTTCGTATAATCAATTTCTGTATCTACAGTTGCATTAAAGTCTCCAACCATACAGACATTTTCATATTCCAATTCTACAATTTTCTTGTGGAGTTTTCCATAAAACTCATCTATTGTTGGGCGCATATATCCCTATCAGCAGTATCTGCTTTTGATTTATTGTTACCTCCAACATCAATATTATCTCTTCTTCATCTGCAAAAATTTGACTTGCCTTTATTGTTTCCTTAATATATAGAGCCACCCCCCTTTTTTTCTTTTGCTTTTGCTAATGAGCAGTATAATTTCACAATTTTGGGGTACTCTAGTAGCTTACTATGTTCTTTTTTAATGCCCAAATTAGATTTGATTTTTCTAATTTATTGAAAGTTCTTTTCCAATTCATTGGTGAGTTCAGTCCGTGTATGTTAGTTGATAGTAATTTTATTTCTTTCTTCTTTTATTGTTGACTTGTGGATAGGTTTAGTTGTCCTAATTGATCTTATTTCTCTCTCTTTCTGTTTTGCTCCTTCTCTTTCCCTTCTCTCTTTTTCTTTTATTTCAGTTTCTTCTTGTTGTATCTTTCCTTCTAATGTCACTTCTGGTATCTCCACTTGCTCTCTTACTGTGGAGTCCTTGATGTTCTCTGAACTTGGTCATTGGCTTGTAGATGCTTGCGATGGTTGAATAAAAGTCTGCAAGTCAACCACCAAACTCAGGAAGCATCAAGGACTCCATGGGTCTTCACTTTTTATTTTTATTTTACAAAAGGCTGGCAGGATTGAGGCCATCTGGATGATCTAACCAAGGCTTCCAAATTTCTTGACAGCTTTGACCTTGGATGGAAAGATGGCAATTGCTGGAAATAAGCTGTTCACCTCAAATGGGAAGGCATCTGTATATGAGAAAACAAAAGTGACTTGCCAAGAAGCCCATGGCTCCATTGCAGCACCAAGGAACCTAAATGAGAACAAAGCTATTCAGAAGATTGTGCAATATTATAACAGTTATGCCTATCTGGGTGTTATTGAGAGCAATGAGCCAGGGAAATTCAATTTCTGGAATGGGGATCCTTTGAATTTTACCAACTGGTACAAGAATGAACCTTCAGGTCAAGGAACTGAAAAATGCGTGGAAATTTACAGCGATGGCACTTGGAATGACAAAATGTGCAACAATTACCGCCTTGTGGTCTGTGAATTTTAAGCCCAATCCAAGGCAACCATTGAATGTTCCTTAAAAGATAACTCAATGTGATTCTTCTGTCAACCCCCCCCCTCCCCCCCGCAAAAAAAAAATATCAATAAAAATCCTTGGCATTTCTTTTGCTTTCATTTCATCTCCTGGGCTCAAAAGACACGCCTGTTCTGAAAGGATTTGCATGTTCACAAACAGAAAAGGTATCTCTAGGATACGGGTTAAGTGTCATAAAGATCATGAAAATAAATTAAAGAAGAAATAGACATGCCATCCGCAGTGCTGGATTTTCCTATAGGCTAACTAGGCTTCAGCCTAGGGCCTCAAGATCAAGAGGGGCCTACATTCAAATTGTT